TATTAGTACATTTTAATATTTTGATTCATTCGCTATATGTGCGATCTATTTGTTTTTATAAAGTGGCATTAATAGCTGCACGGAAAGGCTTACTTAAGAGATCTGAATTTCCCAATAAAAAAAAGTAAGAACAGTGATGTCTTCGGCTTAGCGAAGGCTTTTTACCATTCATGAACATTACATCAGTTGTATCGGAGCTATATGTTATAGTGGTCCGACCTTTCAGGTTCCGACAAATGATTAATACATTATAGAAATAGGTACACCCACTTACCAAATTTCATCCGGATATCCCGAAAACTGAGAGACTAGATTGCATACAAACAGACATACAGATGAAAATGGCTAAATCGACTCAGCTCGACGCTCTGATCATACTAGTATACATTTTAGAGGGTCTATTTAGTAATTGCACAAATCGGACCAAAGTTATAATACCATTTCATGCTCATGAGAGGCATAAACCGAGAGCATTTTACCTACTGAATCGGGGATGCTCTATCTGTTGGTGGTATTATCAACTTCCGGTTTCGACCGGAAGTCCTTTTTTCAAATTAGATATGCATGTTTTTAGTACAGACTCAGATTCTAAAAATAAAACTACGTAACTTTTGTTTACAAATTTTCTCTCAGAAGCGCAGTTTTCAACTCCTAAATGACCTTCGAACTTCAACTCGTACCAAGGCACAGATGGCCTTCCTTATATTAATCGAAAATGCATTCGGACGGTAAGCGGGGAAACAGCTCCCTCTAAACTTAATAAAACAGTGAAAATACAGGGTTTAGTTCTGCGGCACTTATTATCTTCTCCTNATGTTTTTAGTACAGACTCAAATTTACAGATCAAGTACAGATCAAATTTTCTCTCAGAAGCGCAGTTTTCAACTCCTAAATGACCTTCGAACTTCAACTCGTGCCAAGGCACAGATGGCCTTCCTTATATTAATCGAAAATGCATTCGGACGGTAAGCGGGGAAACAGCTCCCTCTAAACTTAATAAAACAGTGAAAATACAGGGTTTAGTTCTGCGGCACTTATTATCTTCTCCTTGTTTTGTATTAAACGGCTGGGAAAGGTCCTTCCCATTTCTGATAAAGCTGGTGGTATTGCTCAACGTCATTTTACCCAATTAGTTGGAGGACGTTGGGCTTCAGTCTTTCACAAAATACGCTCGATAAGACCTTCTACCCGGGCTCGGGTTCCTGTTCTCCACTTCTTTCAGTGCTGTTACCATTCAATAAGGTGGAAAAGGGTTCCCTCCATAATTTAAATAGTCACCTAAGAGTTAAAATGTGCCAAGTCCATATTTTTAAATTCTTCAGGAGAGACGAAAAATCGATGTAGTTTCGTATTACCCACCATTCTGCATCAAATACCAAATTTTGAAAAAAATGGACTTGGAACCTTTTCACCTATAGGTAGCAAGGTATTTTCTGGACATCGCCAAGTAGGTCACCATGGCTGTTCTTACATATGTTCGTCCTGTCCTGAAACCTTCTCTAAGTTGCCTAACTTTCTGTTAAAATTTTCGAGCTTCCTATCCGCCAGCATTTCAAGCTCTTCNAACAATGCTGTTACCATTCAATAAGGTGGAAAAGGGTTCCCTCCATAATTTAAATAGTCACCTAAGAGTTAAAATGTGCCAAGTCCATATTTTTAAATTGTTCAGGAGAGACGAAAAATCGATGTAGTTTCGTATTACCCGCCATTCTGCATCAAATACCAAATTTTGAAAAAAATGGACTTGGAACCTTTTCACCTTTAGGTAGCGAGGTATGTTCTGGACATCGCCAAGTAGGTCACCATGGCTGTTCTTACATATGTTCGTCCTGTCCTGAAACCTTCTCTAACTTGCCTAAATTTCTGTTAAAATTTTCGAGCTTCCTATCCGCCAGCATTTCAAGCTCTTCGCACTCCCGTATTTCGGCCTATCTCTTTTTATTACGGAAAATACGTTTCACTTCCCTCTTCAGCTACCTTTATCGGTGCCACATAACTGGCGTTATGACAGCGTGGTCCTGCAGGCGGAATATTTTTCCCCTCTGCTTCATGACATTCCACATCGTATCAGTTTTTATTTCGGGCTCACTGAAATCCGACGGCTTCAGCGGCAGCGGTACGTAAAGAGCAGGAGATGTTGGTTCACTGCCCGCATATGTCTGCTTGTTGAGGCACGCTGTCTGAGAGCAGCATTGTTGCCGCGAATCATTTTTAGTGGTAGCCAAATTCTTTTAAAAAAAGAGCTAAAAAAAAGTCGTTGTGGCTAAAAATGGTAGCTAAAATTTTTTACTTACATATACATATATAAGTATACACGCAAACATTTTCAATAAGTAATGGTATAAAAAACAATGAATGGTGAAATATTTATACGACACCAGCTTGCTGGCTCCATCAAGTGATTGTACCATCAGACTCCAAGCATATAACTTACCAGCATGCTGGTACAATATATATTTCTTTACAAATGAGGTCGAGGACCATTTTTTTTCTACCATTTTGTTAAACATTATTTTTTCATACCTGCGTACATAAACTCTAGTATAAATTTTATGTACTCAGGTATGAAAGAAATCGTAACTTCTACAGTTTTGGTGTTTCCATTCTCAAATTTTTACAGTTTACTCCATAAAGTTTGGCAACTATTCAGGTTGAAAAAAATAAAAATCAAACATGATGAAAAAATAAAATAAAAAAATGCGATTTTTTATTGCATTTTTTTATTTTAACTATGCACATTTTGATACCTTAACTTTCTCCGGCAAATAGTTTATTAACTGNAAAAAAATAAAAATCAAACATGATGAAGTTAGTAAAAAAAAAATAAAAAAATGCGATTTTTTATTGCATTTTTTTTATTTTAATTATGCACATTTTGATACCTTAACTTTCTCCGGCAAATAGTTTATTAACTGCAAATAATTAAAAAAAGATACTATTCCGTGAGTTCAAAATTTCTGGATTTTTGTTGTTGACATTTTCGAATATCATGACGAAATAAAAAATAGGTGTCTTCTTTTTTCGATAAATAATGTAAAAAAATGTATTTCACCCCCCAAAAAAAAAATATTGGGGTGTAAATATACAACTTTTTCATGCCAAGTATAAATAAGTTCTCCAAAGGACAATTTTAAATTTATGTAGCCAAAAAAGTATGTGGTAGCTAAATCTAGCCACCAAAGGGTTAAAACGGCCGAGTGATGAATAAATTTGCCGCCTATTCTGATTGCTGCATTTCAACGTTGAGCTTTCCCTGTATTATTGGTCGCACATTTTTTTCTACACAGATTCGCGTGTGCGAATCTTGGCTGCAAGAGTGGTCCGAAATGATGTTTGGCCCTCGAAGCGTACGTACGTCCAAAAGTGGCCCTTGGTATTGAAAACGCCAAGCACGATTTTGATATCGTATCGGGGCATCGCCCATATATATGTATGCTCCTAGCGCCAATAGAAATTATCATTGGACGTCTCCTCCTTCTCTTCCATCTAGGGAATGGACGCAGATAAGCGATATGTTGAAGAATAAGCTCTCGGTAAAGGAGTCTCTCTCGCAACACGAATCTAACACCGAGTTTGTGCTCCTTGCGGTCGAATCACTTTCTGGATTTAATGGGCAAAACCTAAAACATCAAATATATATGTACATATACACAATCCAATATCAGTTTTTCGTTCATAAAAAAAATTACAGCCAAGGAACTATGTAGATAATCGTTCAATTAACATGAGAGGTAACAGGTGAACCGTGGATTTTTGACAAAAAAAATGATTTGCTTTTCTAATCTCAAGCATTCCAATCTTGAGCAGATGATCTAACAAACAGCAAACGGCGAGATTTTCGCAATTGTGCAGCAATTGTGCCATCAAGGGAAGTAGAAGATTGGCACTTCGGAGTAATGAAATCTGATAAAGACACTTAAAATTATAAAATAACACAATTCTATGTATATAACCATTTATGCCATCCAGAGTTGAATGAAAGCTATGTTCTTTTTACTAACGTACCGACTGCACTTGCCATCACAAATGCTAAATGGGAGCAATAAACCCATTTATCTTAATGTTTGTGTAATTTCGCAAATCAAGTTAAATGCAATATAACGATTATTATAACAAAAGAAAAGTGTGATTCATATGCAAATAATACATGTGAGCATTAAATATGGCGTACAAGCTAATTACCTTGACTGCGGTTGAGCTGTGGTCATGAAAAGAAAACTAAAAGAAATTCAACTACATAAGTGCTCGTAGCATAAATATGTATGGTATGCTGTTTTAGCCACTTAACACATTACACCTCATACATAGCACCACGTTTGTGTTTTCCTTTAGTTTTCCAATTGGCTTGCAATAACTCTTTCAATAGAAATGGCTCGGGAAATGCAAATGCAGAAACATATGTAACCACTCGTACATGCGGGCAACGTTGGAAGAGACGGACACAAAACCACTGGCAGTGTGCATACATTTCGTTCGTTTTGGCAGATTGCTATCGAAATGGCCAACAAGTGTGGTGCCAAAGCCAGAGCCAGAGCCAGAGCCAGAGCCCAGAGCCAAAGCCAAAACCAGTGGTAGAGCCACCACTCATCGTCAAAACGACACCAAACCACCAGTTGGTGGCAGCTTAGAGTTGAGCGAGCTGATGTTGGGAGCTTAGCGGTGTGTTGAGCGGTGCGGACTCACAGCGCGTTTGGCATTAGGAAGCTGCATAAAACCATTGCGCTCATTGGAAAAACTTTCAGTTTCATAGAGACAACGCTGGCGCGTAAATCGTTAGTTATTTGAATTGGTTTGCTTTGTGGCATTTTGTGGTTTAGTTGCATTCAACCTACTCGTACTACCACTGCATGGTTAATTAGGTGCGCATCGCGTCGGTTCGTGGTTTTGGTGCTTGCTTCAAACTTAACGTAAAGTTATTAAGCAATAGACATAGGATATAAAAAAAAAACGAAATTAATGCCAAATTTCATTCGCACTTGCGTTTAATTGACTGACAGCTGGTGTTTTACGTGCCGTTGCTGGAGTTTTGGCAATTGTGGACTTTGGATTTTCACGTGAAAATGAAGAGGATTTGGAATGTAAGTACATACTTTTACATACATATGTATGTATGTAAACTTTAGCAACAGCTGACGAAGCGGTATAAATAAATCAAAAATGCATTTGCAACATATCATTCCTTTGCTGCAAGAGTGTTATAATTAAAAAAATAAATAAAAAATCGAGTTAGATATGCAGCAATGATCGCCATCTCTTCATCTTTAAAAGCTATATCGGATAACAATAGTTCATTAGAAAAAAATGTGGCTTAATTTTCTCGAGTTTTTGATTTTTTTGCAAAGGTACGATATCGTCGCCTGGGTAATATGTTATCGTGTATAACTTTCATGATTTTTGGGAAAACGCGATTAAAGTTTTGCGATTTGATTTAAAATTTCAGGGATTATTGATCGTTTCATTAACTAAAGAAATCAATAACTTTTGTATATTATTTTTTGATAATATGGGAGTTATTGCGAGTTTTTCTTAGTATGATGTTGTAATATAACATATTTTGAAAATGCATGCACAAAGTCCTTACACATACGACAAAANTATTTAAAATTTCAGGGATTATTGATCGTTTCATTAACTAAAGAAATCAATAACTTTTGTATATTATTTTTTGATAACATATTTTGAAAATGCATGCACAAAGTCCTTACACATACGACAAAATACTATTGAATATTATAATAGTCAGATGCACAAGTAGTAATTTATTTTAATACTTTTGTAAAAGAATTCGTTTTTTATTTTCCATACGAATACATACCCGTAAAGTAAAACAAAACAGTAAAAATTAACATAAAAACACATACTTCCATTACATGCCTAAAATAAAATTAAACGAACATAAGTTTCAATATCAATTTTAGTCTGTTGAGTTACATACAAATATAATATTTAAGATACTAGCCGGTATTATATATTTAAAATGGCACGATAAAAGTGGTTGTCTTCTTCCTTTTCTAAGAAGAGAAGGCAACTTTATAATAGTCTTATAATAGTCTTATAATAGTCTGTTTAATGAATGAAATCTATTTTGTATNGTTGTCTTCTTCCTTTTCTAAGAATAGAAGGCAACTTTATAATAGTCTTATAATAGTCTGTTTAATGAATGAAATCTATTTTGTATGAAATTTAACGTGTTAATAAATACTTCATGAGTGGGTTGGCTGAAAAAATCCTGGCAAGTATATTTTTAATTAAATATCCAAAAATTATTATTATTATTTTAAATTTTGTACTAATTTGTTTAATGAACAAATTATATAACAATCGAAATTATCTATTAAGCCTATAGAATGTGAAAACGTTGGGTTGTCTATTTTTGTCCTGGCCTACCTATCGGGTTAGCAGGTATGAACAGGTAGGTAATATTAGTAATTTTCACTCATCTGTTAAAAACTTTCTACAGGCTTGTTGTTCATTAAACAATTGAGTGCAAAATAATAATTAAAAAATCCGGGCCAGCATTTTATCAGCCAACCCACTAGCGAGGTATTTCCTAACATGTTNTGTTGGGTTGTCTATTTTTGTCCTGGCCTACCTATCGGGTTAGCAGGTATGAACAGGTAGGTAATATTAGTAATTTTCACTCATCTGTTAAAACCATTCTACAGGCTTGTTGTTCATTAAACAATTGAGTGCAAAATAATAATTAAAAAATCCTGGCCAGCATTTTATCAGCCAACCCACTAGCGAGGTATTTCCTAACATGTTAAATTTCATACAAAGCAGATTTTTCTCCTACTATAAGTCCTTTGCTATCAAGTGTTTTTTGGATACAACTCGGAGATTGTGATCCCAAATCTTTCATTAAATAGAAACTAATCAAGTTTATTAAATAATAATTTTGTTCCAGCCCCAAATTGCTGTCATTGCTGGAATATATAATAGACTTACAATTAAAAAGTAAACTTTTTTTAAATCAAAATTTTCAGCTTGTTGTAATTTAACGGTGAGAAAATGTGAGTTTTTGAGCAGTCGAATTAAAAACAATTGGTTGGGAATTTCGATGTTCCGCAAACATTTTGCAATTGTGATATTACCATTATCAAGTTGCTGTAAAGAAGAATGTCCAGGCTCGCTAAATGTTTGCGCAATTTATTTGATTTGCAAGCAGTTTTGCACATATGACAATATTTGAAATAAAATAAAAAATGGTTAATTTGTGTGGAAAAATTGTCGTATATGCAAAACCGTCAACACATACAACAAAAAAACNCTTGGATTTGCAAGCAGTTTTGCACATATGACAATATTTGAAATAAAATAAAAAATGGTTAATTTGTATGGAAAAATTGTCGTATATGCAAAACCGTCAACACATACAACAAAAAAACGAAAAAGTCGCTACTGACCTTGCATATACGACAAAATCATACACTGAATATCTCGGAGAATAAGCGAGATATCGAAAAACTGATAGCACCAATCAAAAAGTCTTATTTTAAAAAATATAACTGCATCGATAACTCAAAATTGTCAAAATTAGCATTCTAACAAACATACATACCGCTCATTTAAGAATAGACGACATAACTCAAAACTCGAGATTTTTGAGCTACTCGAACAGAATTATTCCTTACTTTTTATATAGTGCAAAAACTCCGTGCCAAAAACTTTTGTAGATTTTGAACGAGTCTCCGGAAAAATATCGTTTTTAGAGTTGTGCCAGTCTTTCAGTAAATGAGGTATATGCACCCCAAAATTTTGTTTTTAAAGGCCCTAACAAAAATATATATCCCTATTGCTGGAAGAACGCCAACCATTTTTTGTTGGGTTAATTATTAAGAAAAATTTTACGATTGGTGTACTTATTTTTTGTTATTTTAGGCCATTCTATGATAAACAGGAAAACGGCATAAATTTGAAAATTCCTTAACTATTCCTTATTCAGTAGTAATATCTTGCGTAAAGACTACATTTCATTAATCTGTTATTATTAAACAAATAAAAAACAAACTGCAACGCCAGTCGCAACAGCCTGGTCAACCAGTCACAATTCTCAATATTTTTATAAAGACTATATCAGTATAATCTTTAATGAAAATGAAAGCGACACAAAATGGTCGATCTTGAAAATTTAGTGTTTTGGTTAAAATTCATCTTTGAGTGCGCAAAGGTAAATTAGAAGGATTTTCAGTGTCCCACCAGTGCAGCCATTCACTTTTTCAAAGGATTTTCATACATTAGTTATTTATTTACATATGTTATGTATCGTAACTTGTTGTATAAGTTCCAATGGCATAGTTGTAATGCAAACTTGACCACATTCTGGAGGCAAGTGTTCCGTCTGTCCCAATGGAATGGCCCTTATATATTTTTGTTGAAGTCATTTTTCCGTAAATTCAAATTTTTGATTTTCTTCCAGAAAACGAGTGATATCCCGAACACAATGAACACGACGAGCTACAAACCACAGCTGTCAAATTATTTTAACACGTACTCTTATGCAGATAATTATTTTGGCGACGACCGGGCTACGCGACGGCTGTGGTTGTGGCCAGATTAGATCTATTTCTATTTTTCTGGCGACAGATAAGGTTCTTCCTCTTCTTTTATGTCAAACTCATACAAATTCATGATGTCGCTGCCGCGTTCAAAGAAATCATGTCGCCANCGCATTTCTGGCTAGTATATTTCAGGACGAATGGATAAGGATTGAGCCAAGAGCTTGTGTCAGCAAATCCAATTTTTGGCAGCCAATGTTAGTTACGCGGTTTTGCAAAATGACGATACGCGGTTTTGTACTTTAAACGACGAAATGCAAATATGCACACTTGTATACTAGGGTGTTCCAAAAATGCACATGCAAAAACTAAAGTCTGGATCTCAATGCTCTCACCCCGTAGGATGGTTGTATACAGTAAAAAAATATACTCCTGTTTTGAAATCAAAATATATCTAGAGGTCACTCAAAACGCTCAAAGTTTCCCATTGACGTACATATGTATCTTATACGGAAACAAAATTTGTTGTATAGTGGTATAAAATTCTTGAAAAATCAATATTTTTCGATTGAAAAAATCGGTTTCTCTTCAGGAGACTTCTCTAATAGTAATGCGCTATTATTTATTTTAGCAATCTTAATACTATTTCCTTTTTTCGGGGACCTGTAAAAATAGTTAGTATTAAAAAATGGTCAAAAAAATTGAGTATTATTATTGGAAGTCTCCTGAAGAGAAACATAGTTTTCCGATCGAAAAATATTGATTTTCAAAAATTCTTTATCATTTCTACGGAAAATGGTTTTTTTCTCACATAAAATACGTGGCCAACTTTGAATGGTTTGAGCGACCTCTGAATATTTTTTGATATAAAAAAGTCACAGGGATATATTTTTTCGATACAGAAAAATCACCGCCTAGAATTGAGCACTAAAATTCCGACTTACGTTTTTGGACCACCCTATTGTACACACATGTGGCAAACGTTTTATCCAGATAAATTGAAAACCTAGATCACTAATCTACATAGTATAATAGCAAGATATAAAAGCTAAAATTGTACCAATTGTAAAGTTGATTAAAGTTTCGTAGCGATTGCGAAAATATATCATAAAAATAATTATACATACACCTTTGGTGCTATGTATATAAATTTATTGATAGTTGTCTGACAGTATTTTGTTTCGCACGCTATATTTTACATACATATGTATGTATATGCATTTTTTGGTCGAAACCACAAGCGCCCATTCTTCTGTTTTAATGTTCCTTTTAATCTGTTTTAAATCTACTTGACTTACGAATAAGACGAAGCTAGGTGTCAGTTTTTCGTCTCCCAATACATCGCTGCCAAAAACCTCAAACCTAGTCCTTGTAAAGGCGGGTCAGAGAAACAAAAATTGTTCCGCTGTCTCATTATCTTCAAGGCAGGTACGGCAAATGACCTTGAGGATTGCAAATACCTCGACTTAGAATACTGAGGCAAATTCCCTAAGAGAAAAATGAAGCTCATCAAATTGTCTTCGATATAGACACCATATCCTAACCGAGCGTTAGTTGTGGAGCCATCAGCAGAGATTCGACAGTTAGCGAGCCTCAGCTCAATGTTGGAATTAAGCCAGCATTCAGCCGCAGGGAACGAACCTGAGTCTCCCGAGTAGGGATGGCAAAGAAAAATAAAGTAATCGATTAATTAATCATATGATTAATCACAATCCAAAAAAATGATTGCAATTAATTGCTATTATTGAGAAAAAATCGATTAATCGAATTTTTAAAGGCACTTTTTACGGTGAGTATTCACAAAAACACTTTTCCATAAAAAATTTCGAATACTCTTGTTAATTAGCTTTGAATAAAATAAAACGAGAATTTTTTCAGCGCCGATAAGTGCACAGGTTTACAAAAAAAAAGTTTCTGCGTATTGAGCCAAACCTATATATACCTATGTTATTCGACGCCCTGAATGCGAATCCGAGGTCTGTTAGCCCCCATCATGTCAGGTTCGAGGTCATTTGAAGGTCAAGTAGGGGAAAATTCATTGAATAAACCTGAAAATCCATATGTTTGGGGTTTAAGACTCACTGAACCCGAATCCGAGGTCCTTTAACCTCCATAATGTCAGGTTCGAGGTCGTTTTAGGGTCAAATTGGACAAACAATTTATTCAATAAAAATATTTTTTTTTTTGTTTTGTCAAATTCAGAATATTTGTATTGAATTTTCAGGTTTATTCATTGCATTTTTCCCTACTTGGCCTTCAAATGACCTCGAACCTGACGTGATGGGGGCTAACAGACTTCCGATTCGAATTCGGCGCGTCGAATAACATTGGGATATACGATTTTTTTTTGTAATTTCATTTGTTTTTTTCTGTTTTATATGCGCCTGTAGGCAACTTTGAGAATTTATGGAAAACAACAGTGATAGTATGGAATATTGCCGACAATTGTGCTGGCAATTGTCACTCTGACAAAATTGTCGCGACAATAGCGACAAAACCAAATAGCTCCGTCGGAAAGTTTTCGCAGGAGAATTTTATAAGTTATTTATATGGTTATTGCGCTCATTTTTTTTTGGTAGGGGTTCTGGCAAAATTTTTTTTAGTTTCACTTTTATTTCAACATATTTTGATTAAAAGAAAAATACTGATAAAAATAAAATTTTTCATAAAAACAAGGTTGAAATCTTGAAATTCCTGCCCGTAGTTTGTTTGTAAGTCAAATATGAGTGGCATTGTGCTACTATGATAGCACGGCCGAGTAATCATAGCCAACTTATGTACAGTAGTCGAAAAAATTATATCCGCACCAAATTTTGACAAGTTTTAAAACATTATTTTTGTTGTTATTTAATTTCGGTTAGTTTTTTATAGTTCGTTCCTTACTAATATCCATATAAATACAAGTTTAAAGGCAGTGTCACACGATTGGGTATTTGCTAAAATTTGGTGTAAATCGTATCCCAATTGTTTGAACACCCAAAATATGTTTCATTATCCCAATCACGAAAATTAATTTATTGAAATTTTTCAATAGAACATCGCTGTATTGTACCAATCTTTTGAATGCAAAAAAAGCAGTGTACTCCTGTACACTTAACTTTGGAAGAGATCTGAATTGTGCTTTCCTGCAAACAACTGACAGAGGAAGCCTTGTAGTAAGGTATGACACAGCATCTGCATAGGCCTGGGCGTCATTTAGAGTGACAAGAAGGGAATCAATGTGTGACAGCCGAAGCCAACCCGGACTTTGTTAACATTTTCTGAAAATGTACCCATCCAGTACCCATTCGGTAGATTTGCAAAAGTTAGCTCGTATTTTTACTTTGTGGTCCACTAAAGTTAAAAAAAAAATNCGGGGGGGGGGCATAGGCCTGGGCGTCATTTAGAGTGACAAGAAGGGAATCAATGTGTGACAGCCGAAGCCAACCCGGACTTTGTTAACATTTTCTGAAAATGTACCCATCCAGTACCCATTCGGTAGATTTGCAAAAGTTAGCTCGTATTTTTACTTTGTGGTCCACTAAAGTTAAAAAAAAAATTAGAAAGGTTTTAAAAAAAGGAAATTAAGGTTAAATAAACAAGGCTGCCTGATCTATTGGCCAGTCCAACTGAAAAAAATTTTTCAAACCTGTGGACAAAAAAAAAACAAAAAAGTTTCCATTATATTTTCGCGCAATTTGTTAGGATTATCGCATGAGAACTGTAACCGAGAACACTCGAAACTAGAGTCTTTAAGCTTCAAAATGGTTTTTTAAGTTCCAATATGGCCAGTTTTCACCGAAATACAGCCTGTCAAAAATAACTGAAAAATTTGAAATTTTGTTTTGGTCCCTTATTTTATATGAGTAGTTTATTATCTGCCTACATTGATAGGAAAGCTAAGCCAACGTCTTTGTTCTTTACTATCGAAACCAGATAAATTTTCGTGGACCCCCACTTACAAGTTCTTTTTCACGCCAAGAGAAAGGGCTTTAAAAGCTTTTTTTTTATGAAAACAGCTGGGTTCAAACAATTGTTTACAAAAAAGTTTAAAGAGCTTTTGTAATACATAAGTGCCTTTATTGTAATTGTCGATTGCGCGTCGTTTTAGAATAGTATATTTGCATTTGGATATACATACATATCCATCCATAAAAAGCTTAGGCCACAAAACAACTGAAGGCATCTAATCATTCACAGAGTCACGGATACGGTTCATTGCAACAGAGGATTATCAGGCGCATAACTTCCCATAGTGGGGATATCATTTGGCCACTGAGATCATCCCACATGGCACCACTGGACTTTTTATAAGGCTCCGATGGCCGTATTTATGCGAATAAACCTCAAAATTTAGAGCACTTCAAAATCAACATTTGTCCAGTTATGGCCAATATACCCGTACATACATACATATGTAAACAAGTGGCCGAAAATACCTCAAAAATTTAACAGTCCTAAAAGCTTTCAACTCACACATAGACAAAGTGAAGTACCCTACTGAATGCCGTAGCTTTTTGAACGAGAGCATAGAATCTATTTCCATAGAACTCCACTCATATGTTTGCCGGCGATATAGATATATATAGCAATAGCCACTTTCAAGCAGTGAGTTAGAGATCACTCCATTCTACAACCAAGGAACGCTGGAACAACTTTTCGGCTTGCGAAACTTTCAGTATTACCTGGTATTTTTATATAAGGAAATGCTTACGGGCCAATTCCCAATGTGGAGTCAGGTCCTGTATTGACCTTTGTGACATATAGGACCGAAGTGAAAAAGTTACATAATTTTCAAAAAAAAATACCAATTTTGGTTAAAAATTACCAAAGCGGCAACGCTGATATTTATATAAAAAATGATAATAACTAAAAAAAGCAATTATAGAGAGTAGTGTCCCTAACTTCGTGGCCACCTCTGTATGTAGGTACATTTATTTAAACATTTAATTCACAATACTGGTTAAGTGTAGAAATGTCTTAAAGGCAATTTGTAACTTCTTCAAAATGTTTTAAATTTTATTATTGTTGTTGAGCTTTGTACCACGATTATGTTTATTAGGAAAAATGGAAAAAGCAACAAAGTCTAAACTGCATTAGCACCAAGAGTTTACGGGGTGTGCATAGCTCAGTGGTTAGCGCTTCTGACTTTGCACATTGATGATACGGGTTCGAACCCTGCTGAAGTCTAGAAAAAAAGTCTGATCAGAAGATGCGGTGATCTCCGAAATGGCAGCTATAACTTCTACCGCTTAGACTTTGTTGCTTATTCCATTTTTCCTAATAAATATAATCGTGGTACAAAAATCATAAAAGCATCGAAATTTCGCTTATGCTTAACAAATATGTATGTAATGTATGTTTGGATTAAATGCTTTTTAACAGATTGAAAACTGAATATGTTACTTTTAACAATGGCCGTGACAGCAGTTATTAAAGAAGAAACAGAAACGAGCAACATTATTTGAGCGTGGAAAAATTAATTAAGCGCGAAGGCATTGACAGTGATTTTTTCCAGTTACAAGGTTGTTTATTGAACTAGTTATGAACTTGCATACATACATACATATGTATGTACATATTCTATATCTGTACTTATGTATGTATGCATGTGAACACTGATGCAAATCACTTCGCACACAATAATAAATTACTTGTACGGTTATTGCCACATACTTAGAGATAATCTTAAATTAAAATCTTCCCTTCTGTTATTTATTTCAAAGCTATAATTAGGCATACGATGTATGTACGAGTAAATAGGTTTGTATAGTAACTTCTCCAGTAAAACATTGCAGCGAGAGCGTAAAAGCAAAATAGAGCGTAAAATTGAGAAGAACAGAAAACTAGCAGAAAAAGTTAATGAACACAAAACTAGCAAAAACTTGCAAGTGAACAGCTGTTGCACTGTTTTGATATTCTGCTGTAAACATTTTACTATTTATAAATCATTTTTAACTTATACAGTCCAGTACATCATTAATATTTTGATTTCTACTCATTTTACTTTTGTTTGTGCTGAACCAATTCAACAAATGGCGGCTTTTTACTCTTATTCTTCTTCTTCTTCTGCTAGCTAATTTCTGCTAGTAGAAATTTCACTAGCAAGAATTTGCAGCTCTCCCGTGTTGTTACGCTCTCGATGCAGTGCTCTCTTGCAAATTTTTTGGGTTATCATACGCTTTTCCAGTAAAAATTTGCAGGTTCCAGTACAAATTAGTACTGACTATTGCTTACTATACAAACCTAATATGTGCTTGATTGTGCTTTGTTATACTAATTTTCGGCTCCTCTCACTTCCTCTTGCAGTTGCTGTATATTATTTTGCTTTGGATGGGAATTAGCGTGAGAGCGCAAAGTTCATTCTTCCGCCGCACTTATTACAGCCCGATTTCCGCGCCACCCGCACACTACTTCTCATCGCATCCCACCAGCCACGAGTTCATGCCACTCTCTTACGCCAGCGATTTGCATACCGAAGAGAGCAAGCGAAAGGAATCTGCGAAGAAATATGCAAAGAAACTATCCTATCGCCACTTAGCTTCGGTAAGACAGCAACAAATTTTAAATTTCTTTCCGTACTAAGTACGCACTAACAATTTTCTTCACTTACAGGAAGAGGAAGACAACTCTAGCGAACGCTATGGTTCAGCCGAATATTCAAATGAGGCACATCATTTTAATTCAAAGGAAACTGATAGCCGCGAGTACACCATCGGTACGCAGATACGTGTGCAACACCCGATAACGGTACCCAAGAAATCCATATCATCGCATTCCAAGTACAGTACGCATACACCCAATCATTTTAAGAGCACTAGCTATGCCGATGTGAATTTCTCAACCGAAGCGCACGACGCGAAATTGCAACCAACAAAGAAACATATACACCATCATAAATACTCACAGTTCTATGAACCGGATCCCTTCCATGTGGTTGCACCACCCAAGCCCACACTTTCTGCAGTCTCATCCACACCTCAACACAGCCTCAACTACAATGTTTATGAACCCGAACAAGATGAATACGATGTACATCCAGCGAGCACTAGCAGGTCTAAAGCACAACTGCGCGAACGCTTTAAGGGTGTTGCCTCACAGAAGCAAATTGAAAAATATCTGGAAGATCAACAGAAATTACTTGACGAAGCGCTCAAGCTGCAGTTGTTGAATAATCCGAAATTCCAGCATTTGATGAAATCAAAAGATGTTGAACATCACTACGATGAGGGCGAGTATGAGGAGTTGCCCATTGATCCACAACCGCCACCAATTTATCGCCCAAATTTCGATGATAATTTGACATTCAAGTCGAATCGTCCACGTAGACGTCCAAAGGGCGCGGAGTTGAAACGTTCGCCAAAATCACAGCCAAAGCCACCGACGCCGATAGTTAGCTCGAGTAAGCGGCGATTTCGCCCGGCACTTGTCATCAATGTTTGAGGATGCCGAGGTCTATTGGACATTTGTGCGATGAAATGAAGCATGTTACGAATGCAGATGATACATATGCGCCTATTGGTGCTTATGCGACTTTTTTTAGTGTATGTAATATTTTTTATTTATAATTACTTTGTTTAAGATGTTGATACGAGTATTTTTAATAATTTTTGAAAATCTTGTTTAATAACATATATTTAAATGTGTAAATATTTAAAAGGGAACCTGTTAAAAGTTACTCAAATCGTGGAAAACAGGGAAACAATATGCCGAACCTGGTAAAGAAATATACATAAGTTCGGAAGGAAATGAGCAACATACTGCCGGTGCAAGTGTCTATAAATGTTTTTTTTTTTATGAGCATTGCTGTTATGTAATCCTATGTAAGTAGAGGTCCGATTTCAAAAATGTTCAACTCCTTGCTTATGGAGATAGCTAAACAAGAAGCAAATTTTTTGCCAAAGGGTACTTTCTTCATATCGCACGCCTACATCTAAAGTGAGCTAACTCCAAATTCAGAGAGGGAAATTTAACTAATTGTGGATCGTACAGATTCAAAGCAATTAATACAAAAGCAGGTACAGCAGTAGTTTTTTAGTTAATGTATACAACCATGAAGAAAAACATATTTCCATTAATTGGATGTAAGTCCTATGAATTGATTTATGCAAAAAAATCACGCACATACTTTTTGAGTTGATCATATTCGTGGTTAAGTTTTTTTACGATATTCAAAATATCTGCCATTATAAATCGTTATCGTTAAATTTTATGTGAGCGGTAGTAAATTTGACATCTCAAAATCATTCATTCGAAAGTTCTGGAAAAAAATTAAAAAAAAACAAGTAAGAAAGTCTAAGTTCGGGCGGAGCCGAACATAAATACCCGGCGCAAGTATTAAATATATGTTTTCCACCTTTTCGAAAGCTACCGCTACATGATAAGCCGGCGTGTATAAGTTTTAAGTAAACTAGCGTCCCTAAATTTCAAAATATTTAAATTGCAAGCATTTCTGAAATTTACCGTTATATGAAAAGCGGCCGTAATTTTAGT